TGAAGAATGACAGACAAAAGACGCTCTGTCTTAACTTTTAATCAGAACGCAGAACAGCTGTATCACAGGCGCACCAGCCTAACTCGCTCGTCTCTCCCGCATTAACCCTATAACTGCCGTTCAGCAAAATAAATTGCACTACACTACATTCTTTATTATTAAACGAAGTAATTAGAACAACGACAGTGTACATTAATCGACACATTCTTAGGAAATAGTGGGTTCACAGCGAATTATCAGAACTACTTCAGTAAGACAGTAATATCGTGCTTTACCTGGAAACCTAAAGCTGCACGAGGTGTACATCACATATTAGCACAAAAACTTGATATTTTGAGCACTCAATTGAAAATGTACACATAACGTATCAATCGTACTTACAGGTTGTGGTTCGGAAAGCTTGTTAGTCCAAATAAAGAAGATTAGAAGCCGACGAAGATAAAACCCAAGATTAGAGAAGCAGTCCTCTGTAAAATGACATGCACGCAACAAAAGGTTCAAATTGTATTTCTGTGTTATCCTTGAACACAGCGTCTTCTCGACATGATGTAAACACACTAACTAGCGGAAGTGGGCAGGTCAGACTCGCGGGCAGGCGGAGATTATGCAAATGTGTTACCCAGTGACGTATACCGGTAACAGGCAAAAGATTCGAAAATATGACGACTCGTTAAGGCGATTCAGAATCGACTCTCTCTTTTGAGAGACAATATCTTTATTTATCAAGCACTTTTCTGATTAACAACTTTGCAGATTGTTTTCATTTAAGGATAGCTACGTTATAAACTGCAAAAGAGATATTTTTCAAAAACCCATATGACCTGCTCTTTAAAGGGTACATTCATAGATTTATAACTAGCTTTGTATTGTTACAATGTTGGTAGAATAAGTAATGAACGATGTGCATTTTTTTTTATTGTTGGGATTTTAAGATATCCCAATTATTTGCCAGTAAAAGTCTGCCAGACCATACTTCCCCATATTGCCAGTGGTGAATTTTATTTTTATTCCCAATTATAATTTTTTTTTTTTTGTAAAATTTTCATTCCTTCTGTTCATTTTTCTAAACAATTATGGTCTTAGACTGACACTTACTGGCGTGGATGTAGTATGGCGCAAAAAAGTTTTTGGTTACGGATGGCATTCACTAGCACAATTATCACCTACAATTGACGTTCAATGATAGAAAAACTTTCTTTAAACTTAGTACACCTTAAATTAGTCTTAAAATTGCAATCTGTTTATTTATATATATAAACAGTGTTGGGGGTAATATATTACAAGTAACGCAAGTTACGTAATCAGATTACTTTTTTCAAGTAACTAGTAAAGTAACGCATTACTTTTTAATTTACAAGAGAATATCTGAGTTACTTTTTCAAATATATATATATATATATATGTGTGTGTGTGTGTACTTGACAGAATGATTAATAATTGCGTTATTTTCCTTCCTACTCCAGTTCAACAAACTCTTCTCCAGCCTCCCAATGCTGAGCCGCCGACAGAGGAAAATGCAGTGTAATCTGAAATGCATCATCCAAACTAAAGAGGGCGCAGTTCTAAATCGTTGTTCTCCAATTTGAATGCCACTGTATTTCCCAGCGCATTTGCACCACAATGCCCTTTTTGAAGTACCAATGTGACTGTTTAAATCAACCTTAAATATAGTTTAATAATTTTTTTAAATTCTATTTTAACTGTTCACATGCAACAATGTAGTAAGACTTGAATGTCTACAAACTAGACGTACTAGGTTACGTACGTTGTTCCAGTTCAAAGGTGTGGTCACATTCTGAAATTTCGCAGGCAAAAATGTCCAGCGTCAAATGCGGTTTGCTCACGCAAATCACTTTCAAACCACATGGCTTTCTGTTGATTTGTGACTAACTTGCATTGCGAATTCTGCACGCCAAAATCATTTGCCCTTGTGTAAAATTCCTGATCACATGGATTCTTGTTGAAATTACGCCTGCAAAAAAAAAAAAATGCAGAGCAACGGTAAATGTGACCTCACCTTAACACTATTGCAGTTTAAACACATCTGAAATATTGTTTACTCACACGCCCAAGATAAAGCAGATTTGCGAGTCGAATGGTAATGATGTCAGAGACATATCGTGCACAGAATGTTGCCTGGTACTTTCCTTTAAAGGTGCATCCTACCAAGGCTTTGGTAGAGTATCTAGAATGAAAATCAACAAAGAGAATGTTAGCTGAATGTAACTCTTTTTACTGCTTTGGCTACCAGAACAATGTAGCTTTTTTGGTGCTACACTTGTTAGAAATGAAGAACACCAAAGATGAAATGTGATGGTTTTGCCTCTTTGCATGTTCTTTGACTTTGGTGTGAGTCTAGTGATCCAGTGGAATGAATTGAAACAGCTGAGTGAAAGGTACAACGGTCTTGGTTAAGGCAAATGTGGAAATTCACAAGTGTCTTGAACATTTTCGACAACATTATCACCTGTGTTGAACTGCTTACAGATTTGTTGCTGTGGACGCATTAGGTGACTGTTAAAACCTCCCTAATTCCTTCAATTGACCATCTACATTTCTGGGTACTAGTAGTTCATATGGTGGATGTTGCATTTGTAAGGATCTCTGGGCTCTCTCTGGTGTCGTTTGGCCAGTATAGTTGCAATTTTGTCAAAACAAGGGTGTACGCGCTGAACTGTACAGATATGCATGTTTTGGATTCTAGCTGTAGATATTAAAGGTTTTTCTTGTGTACTGGGTTTATTTATTAACTTGAAAAATTTGTTATTGGGACATACGTTTCTGAAGTGTCTTGATTTGCACTGCCAGTTTATGGTACTGCCACAGATCAGACTGTAATGCTGTAGCTTTATCTGTCATTGAATGAACTGAAATTTGGCTTTGATGTGAATCTCAGAAATACTGACTTTCAGCATAAAATCACACAGTTTATATCAGTGCCTGCTCACTCAAATACAGACTGTGATAAAAACACAATTAATTGCACAGATATCAACTGGCAATCCTCTTCTAGACATTTTAATATTCAAATGTACTCAAATTTCACTCTGTATCTCACTTGGTGGTAAAAGATCGGCATAAAGAAACCCAATAATAAACAATTTATCTTGTCTTTGATTCCTTCCTATTTATTTTTCATCGAGTCAGGTTGCAAGTTTCTGGAGTCAATTTTTTTTAACAGAAGTAAAAAATTTGTGTATAAAGAATAACCAGGGTTGCACAAATACAAAAATACACTCATACAAGAAAAAAACAAAACAAATACACAATATATTAATTTTAAGGTGCATTATGATTATTACATATAATTTTTTTAAACATTATATGGCATCCCCTGTTCAAATGATCTGAACTGTTGACCATTTGTAAAGTCAAAACAGGATTCCAATTAAATAGGAATGGCTTAAATATGGGAGCGATTCACAGATAAAAAAAAAATTATTTGCACTTGCTTAATCAATAATGAGTGGATATATACATATAAGATGATCCCTATTTACCTTGTGTAAACACTAATTTCAGTAGTACATGAAAGTACAGTAGTAGTGCAGTAGTAGGGTGTGCACATTAAAACCTAATTCCACTTTCATACTAATGGATTCCAATTAAATAGGAATGGCTTAAATATGGGAGCGATTCACAGATTTAAAAAAAATTATTTGCACTTGCTTAATCAATAATGAGTGGATATATACATATAAGATGATCCCTATTTACCTTGTGTAAACACTAATTTCAGTAGTACATGAAAGTACAGTAGTAGTGCAGTAGTAGGGTGTGCACATTAAAACCTAATTCCACTTTCATACTAACAAGTGCTACAGAAAAACAAAAACAGTATGTGGCTTCAAATTGGCAGTAGCAATTCAAAACTCCATTCCTTACCAAAAAAAAAAAAACAATCTAGTAAAATCTAATAAAGTATTTTTAAAACTTAAAACTTGAACACAAGACACAATATGAACACAAGCTGATAGGTAGAGAAATAAGATGTTCATGTAAGATTTTTTGAGTGAAAAGTTAAAAGGTTGGTCTGGTATTGGCACAAAGGCAGGCAATGCTGAGGCAGTAAAGAAAAACTATTACACAAAAACTACAGAAAAAGCACAGAAATGCTGTGAAATAGAAAAAGATGCTCATATTACCCTGACTACATACAAATAAATTATTAAAACTTGTGTCAATAATTACAAGTCAAGTTAAAAGCAAGTGAAAATACTGGCCTATTTTTCATAAACTCAATTACGATCAAACGCTTTCATGGTTATCAGTCTATAAGAGCAGTTCCACACAAACGAAATGAACCTGAATTGTGTGGGAGACTGTCCTTTTTTTGGGTGTTCATGCAAGTTTTCACAAGTGTATGTGCTGGGCCTCTATAGCTACATCTTGCCCAAAGCATTATCCAGTGAGAAACGACCAATAGACTTAGACTTCACATTACTATGTTTACTGTAACCTACACATTCTGTTAATGATGAATTCCCTAATGTGAGTGTTGCATGTACTTTACACAGAGGTGTGTAGAGGTGTACCGCCATTTGAAGGAGAATACGCATGCTCTGATGAAGAGGAGATCGAACGTGATGAAGATGCTTCTTTCTGTAACTCCTCCACCTTCCTCTGTAGCTCTGCACGAAGATACAGCAGCTCCTTCAGGTTCTGGTGCACAGGCATCTGATCAAAAGTCAAAAAGAGCTGGTGTCAGTTATAAAAGCTCTAGTTTTAGTAAACTAGCAATCCCATGCATTGCTTAAGCTAATGTGTTGAGAACATTTTGCACCTGTGGTCTCATGCGGGGGTTCCAGCGTACGTAGTATCCAACCCAGAGCTCCAAATGTCTGAGACTGGCCAGAGGGTACAGAACATGGTTTTCATAGTCCACATAGAAGGGGTTGGTGAAGTCCTCTGGCTGGCTATTGATGTAGGACCACAAAGACACCGTTTTACTGTTCACTTCCTGAAAACAGAAGGAAAAATGTGCAAATGTCAGCATTGGAACATCTCTAGTCCATCAAAACTACTACTATTCCCCCTCCCAGTGTTGGCACTGTGGCACATACCTTTTCCACTCGCTCCTGTTCGCTGTTGTAAAGGAATGTACCAAACAGACAGCTGTAGAGGTGATCCAGGATAGTGATGAGGAAGAGCTCATTAAACCCAAAGGCAGTGGGAAACTGCGAACACATTATAAAGACATTCACAGTGAGTTCCAAAACACCAGCATCCATTTCATGGGAATTCACAGGAATTAGGCTCAAACACAAACATAACATTTTAAACAAACATTTCACTATAAATAAAAATGTTAGAAGTTAGAAAGCAAAAAAGGTGCAGCTCACCTGTCTCATCATTTGCCAAACACAGTCTATGAACTGCACAAATAGAGGCGAGCGCTCAGAGTTTGCATGATTTTCATCTCCGTGACCAACACGCTATGACAAAAAGAGATTTTTAAAAAGAAATTAATACTTCCATTCAGCAAGTATATTCAAATGACAATAAATACATTTATAATTTTACTAAATATTTCTATTTCAAATAAATGCTGTTCTTTTAAACTTTCTATTCCTTTTAAATCCTGAAAAAAATTTTTTTGCAGAAAAATATTGAGTAGCAAATAGTGCTGTCAAACGATTAATCACGATTAATCGCATCCAAAAATAATTTTTTTGTTTACATAATATATGCGTGTGTACTGTGTATATTTATTATGTATATACAAGTATACACACACATGCATGTATATATTTCAGAAAAATATGTTAGGTTTACATATTAAATATATTTATATACAATATATATTATATGAATATAAATATAGCCTATGCATGTAAATACTTTCAAAATATGTACTGTGTGTGTATTTATAAATACATAATAAATATACACAGCACATATGCATATATTTTTTTTAAACAAAAATGTTTATTTTGGATGCGATTAATCGCAATTAATCGTTTGACAGCACTAGTAGCAAAACAATTTCCAACATTGATAACATGCCCATCTGAACTAGTTATGATTAATTATTCATATTTCCCATAAATAGATACAGCACATATGCATATATTTTTTTTAAACAAAAATGTTTATTTTGGATGCGATTAATCGCAATTAATCGTTTGACAGCACTAGTAGCAAAACAATTTCCAACATTGATAACATGCCCATCTGATTAGCTGAATTCAGTTTTCTACCCCACATATGTGACCATGGACCACAAAACCAGTCATAAAGGACATCATCTGAAAGTTGAATAAATAAGCTTTCCATTAATGTATGGTTTGTTAGAATAGGACAATAGGGTGCAAAAAAATCTAAATATTGAGAAATCGCCTTTAAAGTTGTCCAAATGAAGTTCTTAGCAATGCATATTACTAATCAAAAATTAAGTTTTAATATATTTACAGTAGGAAATTTACAAAATATCACGGAACATGATCTTTACTTAATATCCTAATGATTTTTTGATGAAAAGAAAAATCTATAATTTTGACCCATACAATGTATTTTTGGCTATTGCTACAAATATACATTTTGTGGTCCAGGGTCACATTTGTGTTTATTATAGCATTAAATTAGCTATATTATCTAAATACTATGCATACTGAAGCCATCTGAGGCTAAATATGAACAGTCCCTTGTCATTTGAGGTGTAACATTGAAATTGCATAATTAAAATGTTGGGAATGCATATGAAACGGTCTGTAAATTATTTAT